CTTTCTGAAGCAAGTGAAGGGACATACAGGATATTACGGCTGTGGTTATTGCACACAAAAGAGTGTGCACATTGGCACACGTATGACGTTTCCCTTGTTGATAGCTCTCTTGCGTCGTGACTATGATTTCCGGACCAGAAAGCAAGAGAAGCATCATACAGGTCCAAGTCCGATGAAGGAGTTAAATTTTCCCATGATTGACGGTTTCCCACCAGATTACATGCATAGCGTGTGTCTTGGTTTGGTGCGGAATTTTCTCATCTTACTCAGAGCTATGCCAATTGGACACAAGGCTAGGCTTTCTTTGGAGTCCTGGAATCTGCTGAATGATAACATTGAGCAACAGAGTTTGGCTCTGAGTGTTGATTTCCCCCGAAAATGTCGAGGTGTCGTAGACCTGGATAGGTGGAAGGCATCTGAGCTACGACAGTTTCTTCTGTACATAGCACCCGTTGTTTTACGAGATATCTTACATCCGGACGTTTACGAATGTTTCATGTATTTTTCAAGAACTACTTTCATAGGCTGTTCACCTTTTTTCACAACACTATGCTGATTTTTAATTGATGTTTCCAAGGTTGCTGTGTCAAAATTTGCTGCTATTTTTGGTTCCAGCCATTTATTCTACAACATACACCTCTTCTCCCATTTATTCAATTTTGTCAAGCTTTGTAGTTGCTTAGATCGGTTTTCCTGTTTTCCCTATGAATCGGAGCTGGGGCATTTGAAGCATTACATACACGGGCCAAAACCACCCGCTGTTCAGCTTTACCGCCGACTGGCCGAGCGTGTGAGATTGGATGCTGTTGAAAGGAAGATATTTTTGGATTATGTTGGTTTGCGACTGAGGCCATTAGCCACTGCCAGATGTCACAGGTTTATTCATAGGGATGTCGTTTTCTCGAAAACTTTCCCGACAACTGCATTTTGCTTGATGGTAAACCAGTTGTCATTGTAGATTTTTTTGGAGATACTATTGAGTACCAGAAACCCAAAACTCTTCTGCCGTTTTACACTCACGTATTGGCATTGACAGACGTTTTAGTTTTTCAATGCTCCGACTTGCAACACACTCGGCTGTTTGCATCAGTCGACCAAATATCTTGTAAATGCTTAAGTTTTTTACTGCAGAAACACTCGTATATACTTCCCCATTTTGCATACCCTTATCGATTAGTCAGTACTCTTACAACTGGCACTCGACACATGTATGCATTTATTACTTGTATTACTCATTAGTTCGTAAGATATATATACATATTTACGTTGGTGTTGTGTTATTCTATCAAAGCTTCCATTTGCATGTGGACTTTCTCCTTTTAAATGTCGTATTTGGAAAAGGTTTTCCAGCCATGTAAGCTGTTCTCATATTTGCGGACAACTCTGTTGACATAGTGCATTAATCGTGGTTCGTACGGCCCGATTCAGTCATTTGGCCCTCGTGCACAACCAGCATTATTTATGCAAACTTACTAAGGGGTACTCTACCAAAATGTCCACTCAAGTCGTGCACGTACAAAATGTACCGGCAATGCAGTAGGTTTTCAGTTAAAAATGTTCTAGAAACTTTTCCGGATGCACTGAGTGCTCAGCAATCCTTGACTCAGGCATACCTCCTCTGCGGAGCAGAACCGATGAACGTACGTCAATCCAGGCGCAAACAGTATGTTTATCAATCGTATTACGATGGTTGCAGTACAAAGAAACGGCTGTCGTCTGATTTTACAGACAGATCTGATCGTGATTCCAGTGGTGACCACTTTGTTTGCAAACATAGTCATAAGCCCACCAAATCCAAAAAGACTGTAGGTCCTCCCGCATCTACCAACTTTTCAATTTGTAAAATCCTCATTTTCAGATAAACCAATCCGACTGCCACGATTAGTAGTATCATTCCTGTTCAGGACGTGCCACGCGTCCCTGGTGATGCTTCTATGATATGTGGAATGTACTTTTTATTTCATTACCACCATCTAAAATCTATCAGCAGTTCCACGTATACAACACTTCCCGCCGTGGGCGATCCAGAACCATGCAGTTCTACTCCGATCCTCAGGTTTTCTTAACATTCCATGTACTTTCCTTTCTAGAACCAACCCTCCAAATTCAAAAGCCAGCGTAATTTCCCCGGACCTGTCCCACCTCATTCTCAGTGAGTAGATTACCATGTTTTAATTGAACCAGTTTATAGAGAATTTAGAGAGGATTTACTCGTCGCTCCAAAGCTAGACGCTTCAGTACCCACCAGCAGTTCTGAGGCACTCAACGAGCCCCCTCTTCCGCTTTCATCCACGGATGATCTCCGTAAGTATGAAGGACATCTAAGAGATGGTCCACGCTATGCATGGCTGGTAATTATTAGTTGTAGTCACGATTGTTGATTTTACAAAGATAGTAAGGTGGCTTTTTCAGGAGGCTGGCGATGTACGAGTGTACGTAACCAACGTACTTACGCGGACGTCGGCACCAAGGCTAGCCGCACTACTCGACTGGCGCGGAATAAATGAAAAAGAAGCCTTCGGGTCAACCAGGCTGGCCCAAGGACTTATTTGTAAGTAGTTAACTGTTAGTTTATATTTAGCTAGTTGAATCAGTATCTGGATGAAACTCAATAACTATATCTTCATTACAGACTCGAAAACTGAGAAGTTTCCGAACACAAATCTGCGACAAATGAGGGAAATCGTTCACTGCTGGCTGGAGAACGAACGGCAGAAAGTTCGGAAACGCCTGCAGAGAGCCACCAAGAGTGACAAATGATTTTCCCCTGTATTTTTAAGGATTCATTCATAAAAACATTTGTATTTGAAGGCGCTTATTGATATCCGGAAAGGTACAACGCTGAGCAATTATGTGGGAGCAGATGGGTTAACACTTAGTGTTTAGGAAGTTACTGACTCGCACTAGGGGGAGAGATGAATCCGTATGATGGGCTATATTTGCGCGTCGGACGACGTTAGCTAATCGCGGGCTGGGTGCGGAAATTCCGGTACCGAGTAGGGATTTTCCGCACCTGGATGCGGAAACGTCTGCACTATTTCCGCATCTGGATAAGGACTGGGTGCGGAAATTTGTTTAATTTCCGCACAGAATCTGCACCCGGGTGCAGAAAAGTGCGGATATTGTGCAGAAATTTCTGCAACCGGGTGCATAAATGTGCAGATATTGTGCTGAAATTTCCGCACCAGGGTGCAGAAGTGTGCAGATATTGTGCGGAAATGTCCGCACCCGGGTGCAGACATTCTGCAGAAATGTCCGCTAAGTGGGTCATGCACCATGAACACATAACCAACAGCAAGCAAGCTGCATGTGTTCTCTCTATACCTCTTTACCGACAAATTGTCAGCCAGCATAAGGAGTGTGCGCTAGCAACATAGACTCGAATTTCATGATAGGAAGATATTTAATACTGGAACGACACCATATCGTCTGTCTTGTAACATTGCGTTCGCCTTCCATGCGCCTGCAAACCTGAAAGATATTATGAACCGTATGTGCCGAGGCACGGTGATCTAGGCCGTTAAAATTTTGTTAATGGATCAAGGGAGGGATAAGGTAGTGGAAACCAAGCACTGAAGGCGTCGACCTAATCGGAACTGTGGTACCTGGGGAAGAGTGCAGAATCCCAGCGGTGTAGTTCAGTTTCGTAATCAAAATCCATGGAGCGAAGTGTGGGGTTGTACAAAAACGGAACAGGAGCAACGCATCCGAAGAGATGATACGGTCCATTCGCTGTTATGTATGTAGGGGGGGGGTGAGAACTTGGCAGTGAAAGCACTAGCTTCGATGCGGGACCATTATACCTGTCAGGGGCACTGCTCACTGGTTTGTCCCGTCTCGGGGTTCTCTTACCCGGAACTACAGTCAGAATAAAGATGGAATTGACTAGTGAGGTATTTCACGTTTATTTTCTAAGTCATACAGTGATGAGGCTTACAATATCCCTATGGTTAGGCGAAGCGTGCTCCACGAAACATCCGATGCACGTGACATGATTAGCGTGATCTGTGGACTGTGACCAGCTGATCTATCGAGGGAGAATCGGATATCCCCATAAAATACATGGTGCGTCTCAGCGTTACTGAACCACCTTCACACTAGTTTACGCCATACTTCGGATGTAGGGACAGCGCTGTGAACGGCGAACGTGAGTGTAAATCATGTCAACCATTGTCATCCAATTGCACCACCTATGATATAGCGGAAGGTAGCTTTACCGAACCCGACCGAGCAAAGGAAGCTTATTACAAATGAATTTATAAGGTTATCACACAATGCCATGTTAGAGTCCTCGGCAGTGGACGAGATGAGTTGAGATAGAAACACTCGATCCTTATTGGCTGACACCTCGTTCAGTCAGTGCATGTCTTTGCTCGCTCCGTACACCACACGTGACCGGTGTGGTGTTCAGTTATCTAGAGATATTGGCCTTTAGACAGCTAGTCAAACTCAGAGTGTCTCCGAGGAATTGTACGCAGTGCCTACGCCTCTGGGGCATAAAATGGTAGAGCAATATTGTGTAATCTACCATCGACAGGCAAGCTGATGTCACGTCGGTGCCACAAATGTCGGACATAAGCAAAAGCTGTCCTGATCTCCTACCATCGACGGCAAGCTGATGTCACGTCGGTGCCACAAATGTCGGACATAAGCAAAAGCTGTCCTGATCTCCCCAACCCTGCAATTGATTTCGTCTTTCGTCTGTCCGCTGGGTTTTATGTAGCTGTCTAGAGATGCAAACTTATTCAGCCCATCTGTCTTTTAACCTGCAAATATGCGGGTTGGGTTCGATCCATCCCAATCCTGCAGTAGCACATTACAATTTGCAGGTGCGAGGCGAATACAAAACCCTACGGAAGGATTATTCATGGCGTTTAAAGTAGCTTACTTTTCTTTGGAGTCTGGTCCAAGGAGACCAACATTTTCGGTGTACCCCCATTATTTAGAGCGACAGTACTTCCATCCTCGAGGATTGTGAAACAGGTAAAGAGGACCTCAGCAATACATCGTGTCTGGAGTTAAAGATAAAAAGCGAATGTGGTGAACCCAGGGGAATTCGCCACAGACACGTAAGCGTCCACTGGAGGGAGCGTACGTATCCTCCATAAAAACAGGAATCTAGAGTGGACATTTCTCATCGCCAGACACCACCAAAGTTTTCCGACTATGAACAGATCGAAAAACATTTAATGTGGAGAAATGTGATCATTGTTGGTCCTCCAGCACCTGTCGCAAGTATATTGTCGATGTAACAACAGCCAGGGTTCTCGCTAACCTGACTCTCGATGATGGATAAACCTATGAAGCATAGTACCAGCACCCTTTTTTTGAATATAAGAATCACCGTCGAGGTGCTCCATCTGTCGGCATTCTTTCTTGTTCTTCGAGTAGGGTGGGCTGAGCGAAATAAATTGATGCAGGACCAGACTGCTTGTTTAAGTATCATCCAAAATACTCAGTTGTTCAATCACTGGTTATTGTTGCCTAGTGCGAATCAAATATTGCCCTTGATGAAACTGATGAAAGCCAGTCTTTTCGTTGCCGTTTTTTGCATCGGTTTGAAAAGTTTCAGTTCATTACCAGCTTCTTTATCTTTCAGGGACCACTGATTCCATCAGCTTCTTCTATCCACGCGCATACCATATTTGGTCTTGTGCCTAAGGGCTCTTCTGGTCGCTCAGCTTTCGAGGAGCGACAGTGGCTTTTTTGAAATCCAATATGTATTTGGGAGACCTTGGAAACAACACATGAGTTCCCCATCATATAAATGACCGCTTGTTCCGTCAAAATTACGACCGATTTCTCTATAGAATATGACTTCTAAAGCTTCGCGGGGACAAGTTTTGGAGGTAGCATCGTTCAATTTCTGTCGAATTTTTTACGACCGAATCAGAAGTTAGTTTTTTGGTCTACGCGGGCATCCCACTTAGCCTAAGTCCACGTAAGTACAGAAAGATCGATCGGAATAGAATTTCACCACCGGATGATAATAGTTGTGATCGCCCTCCATGTTTGTTCATCAGTATGAGGACACCAGGTAGTGCAACGGCATCTACTGCATCTGAAGCCATTACTACAGAGGAACAACTAGTGATCAATGTAAAGCTGAGAAGATGACTGCCATCGTCAACGCGTCTTGAGTTCAAGCAGATGAAAAGTAGTGCATCCACTTAACTGAGAAATCCTGCTTATGAATTGAGATCACCGGAAACTAGAATGTAATGTCAAGTGATGATGGGTAGGAGAACTGCAAGTTTCTGATAAAAAGGACCTTTTATCAAGTCACGGCTGCAGCCGGTTCGTAGAAGTGCAGACTGGTGTTATTTAGACTGGTGCGCGTTCTTGTGGGAGCTGACAGCTGACCAGCGCAAAGGTGATTTAAACAATCACCTGTCAGCTTGGGTCCACGGGGAGTGGGAAGAGATAATGTAGAAGAAAGATGGGAGGTATCTGCAGTAGCTGGTTTTACTTACTCAACCCTGTGTATGCAGCAAGTTAGGCCGAGATGGCTCAGTTATTAATGCACAGATTTACCGTAGGGGAGGTCTATGGTTCGAAACCGAACTTTTCAGCTCGACTGCCTCTGTCTAGGTTTGGGAAACCCGGCAGTATTTCAGCCTTCATGCTTCCTTTGGGTGACACGACAGTTAAGCACCGAAAGGGTGTTACGGCGAAGCGATTTATTATTATTGCCATTATTAAGATAGGTGACTCGGCTGACGGCACCACGGCACGACTGATGTGGCACGGAATTACTGTTATTACTACGGTCCATGATTGTGTGTGTGTTTGGGCACCAAAACAAAGAAGGGAATGACTAAGACTCGCAACTAATGCCCTCTTTGAAAAACATGACCGCAAGGCTGCCATGGTTGGCATGGGACCAACACAACGTCTGAGGAACATGGCGCCAGTCATTCTCTGATTCCCAATTTAGGGGGACAGGTGACTCTCGTCTGACCTCTGTCGACTAGCCAACGTGGTATGGGAGACTGAGTGTCACACGGACAACCCCAGTGTAGCTCAATGGGCCACAGTGGTGTACAGCACTGTGAGGTCCAGTGTCTTCGCAACTAGCCCCTGAGTACGGCCTCAGCCTTTTTTCTGAGCACTTAACAGCACAGAAGCATTCCGGAAGTTTGAAGGTATACCAAGAAGTCCGCCTCCTAACTTCGAGATCCTTATAGAAGTTGGGTTTAGGAAGATCCGTCATGAAGAGACTGGATCTTACAGTGGTTTGACGGTTTGTGTGCCTCCGCGACCCAATGAACTATACTGGTAAGTGCCCTTACGGCACAGTCTCATACTAGATTGTTCGATGGTTTGAGGTCTGACCAACAGTCTCCTGGTCCTACAGGTTGGCGGTTAGAACATGTGTGGCGACTTGTTTTGTGAAAATGGTAGTGCACCTGCATTTCCCGTCAAACCTCAGGCTTTCGAGGCAAAGGCTTTAGTTGAGGACCCTAACCTCCATCCTTTCTAGGTATGGGTGACCTGGTAATATCCCGCGTCGCGTGCAACCATGAATGCACACTTACAACTAATTTCATGCCACATCGGCCGTCGCGTGGTGCCATCGATTGGGTCGCCTTGCTTGCTGCATACAACAAGGTGGGTAAGCAACTGCTGATGCCCCCTTCCACTTTCAGATTCCCCCTATCTCCACCCCATTAATAACTGTCTCCATATAGGCCCAGCAGTTAGGACTGATGAATTCGTTTGCCCTGCGGGCAACATCACGTCACCTGGCGCCTGGGCAA